CTTTTGGGTTACATCGAGAAATTATGTTCAGTGTACCAATTGAAGATATTGTTACTTAATTACTTTTCTCTGTATCCACACCTACATTTCCTAAACTCCTTGATAAATTCTCAACATACTGGGCATGAATCATTAAGAATTACAGACTTGATTTTTCTTCATTTTAAAGCGGAATTCTGCTTTTCTCTGAATTGAATCAGATTTTTCTTGATATAGTCCATTTTTTATTTCATCTTCGATCCATTTTTTAAAAAAAACTTTTTGTATAGTCCCATTCCACAATGACCCCTGTAAAGTATTTGTTCCATATATTAGTTAGCACATGCCACTTGTAAAGAGTATTCTGATTGGTCAAAAGTTTAAATTCATCCAATAAATCTTTGTAATGGAAACTGATGGCAATGGAAAGAAGAAGCATGCTTGCAAAACATGGTGTCCCGAGTTGTTGAGAAAGACCATGACAGGAAAAGTTTAGATCAAGGTTTAAAAAAAATAATGAAAAAGGGAATTGCTGGAGCGAAAAGTTGATGGAAAGTTGGTTGGTCAGTTTTTAAGAAAACTGAACGTTAGAGGACTGGTATTTTGTGACCGATGCAAGAAAGATCTGAATGATGGTAATCATGGTTGGAAGAGTTTGGAACAGCACCTACAAAAGAAATTGCATACAGAAAAATTAAAGCTCAGAAGGCATGGGGAACAGGTGCAGTTAATTACTATAAGAAAGAATTCTTGCATAAGAGAGCATCTGTCAGAATATTCATATTGCATGTCACAAATACAAGCACTAGCTTGAAAGGTAAAGGTTCTTGTTGAGAAGGAAAAAAATTATTGCTCATTGAGCCAAAAAAAGTCAATGGTGACAAAAAGGAAGACTAAAGAAATCTTTGCCAAAGCTGCAAAAAGATCTTGACTGGCATATCAACAGGTTCTTTCCATTGGAGAAAACGACAAGTGAATGTATGGGGTTATTCGTATATAGTTAATGTTCTTGGTTTATTTTACAGATTTGTTATGAAAAGACAGAAGTATGATATGCTTGCTGCAAAAATTGACAAATTAATGTGACTTAATTATGATGTGAACACTGACATGCACATGAAATACTTTCAGCATCAATCATACTGAGAATAAATTTATGTGACAATAAATATTGTGAAGTTATTCATATATATGCACACAACACACACACACACATATCTACTAGTTTCCTTTTAATATACTCATCAAAATATATCCACCCAATAAAATTAGCAAGTAATGACTCAGTTTTTGAACACTTCCAAAAAAAGATCAAACTTGATAGAGGTCATCTTGGCATGAAGACGTTTTGTATTGTCCCATGTCTTGTCATGCTGTGTCATCTTGTCTTGTTGTGTTTGTGTTGTCATGTCTGTCTTTTTTGTGTTGTATGTGCCTGTGTCTGCTTTATGTTCTGTGTGCCTGTGTCTGTGTCCCATGCCTTGCTGTCTTGTCATACTGTGCTGTCTTGTCTTGTTGTGAATGTGGTGTGTCTCTCCTATGTCTGCTGTGTGTTGTGTATGTCTGTGTCTGTGTCCCATGCCTTGCTGTCTTGTCATACTGTGCTGTCTTGTCTTTTTGTTTATTTGGTGTGTCACTCCTATGTCTGCTGTGTGTTGTGCATGCCTGTGTCTGTGATGTGTTGTGTATGTCTGTTTGTGTTGTGTCCTTATCTTGATGTCTTGTATTGTCCAGTGTCTTGTCATTATGTGCTGTCTGTTCTTGTTGTGTCTATGGTGTGTCATTCCTGTGTCTGCTATGTGTGTTGTGTAGACCTGTGTCTATGATGTACTGTGTATGTCTGTATCTGTGTTGTGTCCCATGCCTTGCTGTTTTGTATTGTCCCATGTCTTGTCATGCTGTGTCATCTTGTCTTGTTGTGTTTGTGTTGTGATGTCTGTCTTTTTTGTGTTGTATGTGCCTGTGTCTGCTTTATGTTCTGTGTGCCTGTCTGTGTCCCGTGATTTGTTGTCTTGTCATACTGTGCTGTCTTGTCTTGTTATGTATGTGATGTGTCACACCTGAGTCTGCTGTGTGTTATGTATGCCTGTGTCTGTGATGTATTGTGTATGCCTCTGTCTGTGTTCTGTCCCATGCCTTGTATGCCTCTGTCTGTGTTCTGTCCCATGCCTTGCTGGTACAACATATCACAAACACAGGCAAATCAAATCTTGATAAATGATATTGACATGGCTTTTTATGACAAATATCTTGATAAATAATACTGATGTGTACTTTTTTGGACAAAACTGAAATTTTGAAAAATAATATTCATTTGGCCTTTTTTGACAAAAATCTAATTTTGATAGGTTTAGGTCTTCTTTGGACAGATATCAAATCTTGATATTAAATATTGATTGGGTTTTTTGGACAAAAACCAGATCTTAATTAATATTGATAGGCCATTTTTAACCAAAATAAAATCTTAATAAATAATACCAATAAAGTCCCTTTGGAAAACTCAAATCTTGATCAATAATATAAATAGACTTTTTTGGACAAAATCAAATCTTAATAAGTAATATTGATAGGGTCTTTTTGGACAAAAATCTAATTTTGATAGGTGTACAAGTTCATTGGACATAAATCAAATCTTGATAGGTAATGTTGATTAGGCATTTTTGGAGAAAAAAAAATTCAGAATATTGATAGACCTTTCTTTACAAAAATAAAATCTTAATAATACTGATAGGGCTTTTTAGGACAAAAATCAAATTTTGATAACAATGTTAATAGGGTCTTTTTGGACAGAATCAGATCTTGATAACAATGTTAATAGGGTCTTTTTGGACAGAAACAGATTTTGATGAATAATATTGATAGAGCTTTTTTGAACAAAAAGTAATTCTTGATAAATAATAATGATGCAATCTTTTTGGATCAAATCAAATCATGAAAAAAAATTGATAGAGCCTTTATGACAAAATCAATCTAATACTGATAGGGCGATTATGGACAAAAAATCTTAAATAAATATTTTGACAAACTTTTGGACCAGAATAAAAAAAATTTAAAAATAATTATAGGGCATATTTTTACAAACATTTTGATAAATAATATTTATCAGGCTTTTTGGACAAAAATCAAGTCTTTAAAAAAAAAATTTCATAGGTCCTTTTTAGACAAATTCTAATTTTGATAAGGGTAGGGTCTCTTTGGACAGATATCAAGTAATATTGACTGGGCCTTTTTGGACAAAATCAAAATCCTAATTAAGATTAAGATAGGCCATATTTTTTTAACAAAATCAAAGTTTGATAAATAATAATTATAGGGCCTTTTGGACAAAATTCAAATCTTGACAACTAATATTCATCAAGCCTTTTAGACAAAATCAAATCTTGATGAATAATATTGATAGGACCTTTCTGGACAAATAAAATCTTGTTAAGTAATATTGATAAGACCTTCTTTAGACAAAAATCAAATTATGATAATTATATTGATATGGCCTTCTTGGACTTAAATTTAATCTTGATTAATAATACTGATAGGGCTGTTTTGGAGAAAAACTCAAATCTTGATAAGTAAAATTGATAAGGCCTTTTTGACCAAAAATCAAATCATGATAAATAATATTGATAGGGCCAATTTGGATAAAAAGATAATTTTGATAAGTGTAGGGCCTTTTTGGACAGTTGTATGTTTTAATGCTATTGTTCAGCACTTGATAGGCTATATAATCTTTGGACAGAAATCAGATCTTGATAAGTAATATTACTAAGGCTATTTTGGACAAAAACCAAATTTTAAATAATATTGATCTACCATTTTGTGACCAAATACAAATATTAATAAATAATAATGATAGGGACTGAGGGCATTTTTGAACAAAACTCTAATCTTGATCAATAATTTTAAATGGGCCTTTTTGGACAAAATTAAATCTTGATAAATAATATTAATAAGGCCTTTTTAAAAAGAATCAGATCTTGATCAATAATATTGAAAGTACCTTTGTGGACAAAATCAAATCTTGATAAATATTGATAGGTCCTTTGAGACATAATCAAAGCTTGATGGCTTCATACTGATAGGACCATTTTGGACAAAAATCAAAACTTCATAAATAATATTGTTACGACCCTGGAGTTAAAGTATGTGTGTCAATATATCAATTTTGTATAAATCTCTTTTTATTTCATTATATGAATACCGTCTAACATGTTTTGATAAAACAGTGTTTACTCGAGTCGTAGATGTGACTCATGTTAGCACGTGCTGTGTATGATAACAAATTCATTAAAAATAAACATTCAGGAATAGCCACGAAAATGATTGGTTGATACTGGATTAGGTTTTCCTGAATGTCCAGAAGTACTACGAATTTGCATGCGTCTTCGTGCGCGTGCAATTCAAACAAAGCATTAGCCTTCATATATATGCTTGAGATTTTGTAATTCATACACAGTCACGGACAGACTGTCGTGGTCGAGAGTCAACAGTCGTAGTAGAGTCAGTTATACAACTTCTAATATCTTTAAAAAGTTATTTGTTTGTGCTAGAAGTTGTCCGTATGTCTACGTAGAATAACATGCCTTGTTAGAGGAACTATTTTCACTTCATCTTTATAATTGTTTTCCTAGAGAACAACATTACTGATTTGGACATTTTCTCCCTAATATTGGAACGGGACAACACAAACTTTGTTTTATTGTGTAAATTCTGGAATTTGCTGTTAGCCTTCGTCTGACGTGGTCAACCACCATTTTGGACCGGAACATCGTACACTTTCAGACTGCTTAGAACTTATTACAGGACTTATATTTTTATTTTGAACAAAAATTTGGATCATTTCTGTAAACCGTAAGTCTTGCTTAAATTTACATTATTGCATGTGTTCTAGGAAAATAAATTATATTAAAATTTATAAAGCTTGTTGTATTCACTTTTGTTACTTAGAACGAGCCGTCACGTAACAATATTGATATGGCCTTTTCAGACAAAAGTCAAATCATAACTAATATTGATAGGGCAAGACCGCTCCGGTGGCCTAGTGGTTAGAGCATCTGCCTCAAATGCGGGAGGTCATGGATTTGATCCCTGGTTGATTCATACCAAAGACTTACAAAAATGGTACTAACAACTGCCTCACTTGATGCTCAGCATTAAGAGGTCAGTGTTAGGACTGGACAGCCTAGTGTCAGAATAATGTGACTGGGTGGGACATCATGCTACATGTCTGCAGCATGATGCCCCAGTGCTAAACGTCACTATAAACTGCCACACTGTAGACATCGTAGCAATGACTGAAAGTTAAAAATCAAAATCGCATCACATTGATATGGCATATTTTTAACACTATTGAAATCTTTATAAATATTAAATTGGATTTTCTGAGCAAAAGTTTAAATCTTGATTCATAATAATCAGAGGGAATTTTTTATCAAATTCAAATCTTGATAAATAATATTGATAATGAAATTTTCAACAGAACTCAGATCCAGACTAACATTGATTGGGTGTCTTTCGACAGCCCTCAAATCTTTACAAATAATATTGATAGTTCCTTTTAGGAGAAAATCCCAAATCTTGATAAATAATATTGATTGGTCATATTTGGACAAAAATCAAATCTTAATGATAGACCATATTTTGGCCTTTTCTTACAAAAATGAAATCTTAACATTTTTGAGCCTTTTTGGACAAAAACTGCTCTTGATAGGTCGATTTTGTATTATTTTCTTATGCCTCACCTCAAATAGCCTTCACCTAATGCCTTGCCTTGCTTAGTCTAAACCTAGCCTTTTACAGCCTCACATTGCATTGCGAGACCATCTTGTTTGTAATCGTGTTATTTTGCCGTTCATCACCATGCATAGCCCGTGCCACATGCCATGCCTTGCATTCTTTAGCCTCGCCTTGCTTAGCCTCACATTTCATCTTGAGGCCATCTTGTCTTTAATCGTGTTAACATCTGCTATACCTCCACTTGCATAGTCATTGCATGATGCCTCAGATGAAGATGCATGGCCCCTGCCTAAGACCTAGCTCTTGACTAATACCTTACATTGCGTTGTTTACCATAGTCGTCTTGCCTAGCCCCACATTGCGTCGTTCAGCTGCCTTATCATATATCGTGTCTTGTTTTGTATTTTAATTTTGCATTGAGTAGCTTTTTCTAATGCATTGTCTCGTGTTGCTTAACCTAGCCTCGTGGCATCACGATGCAACAGTACGACAGCTTGCCTTCTTTGTATTTAAATTTTTGTTTTGCGTATCCCTTGCCTAACTGCTTGCTTTGCGATGTTTAGCCTAGACTTGTATAGCCTCACGTTGCATCGTGAAGCCATCTTGTCTTTTGCTCTGTCTCTCCTTTCATAGTCCGTGCCTAATGTCTTGCCTTGCCTTGTCTTACTTCGCATACCCTCTCCTTGTGACCTCGTGTTGTGCCCTTATGACACCATGTCTTGTATTTTTAATTATCCTTGTCTTGCAAAACCTCGCATTTCGTCTTGTATACTTTCGCATTGAATTGTTAGGTGACCTTTTCTTTTGTCATGTTGTTGTTTTACCTTGCGTCATTTTGTGTAGCCCTCACCCTGCCTCATTTTGTGTAGACCTCACCCATTTTCTAGAATTCCTTACCATTGTCCCTTGCTTCACCTTGCATAGTCCGTCTCGCTTAACGAACCCATGCCTTGTGTAGCTTCACGATGCTTAATTTGACTTCACCTTTTATCGTATCCTGTTATTTTTATCGCCTTACAATGGAATATTTCAAGGACATAGACGCCTTACAATGGAATATTTCAAGGACATAGACGCACTGTTTTATAAAGAATGAAAACTATTCGCCTGACATTACCTGGAAGTTACTTCCTTCCTCGTATTGGACGATACATTAACTCCATAGATTTGTAAATCAAATGTACGGGTTCTTGCAAGGGACATATTTTTTATCATGTGATATAATATTCTTGTTGAATTATTTTCAGATATGCATCGATAGTATGCAGGCTTATCAAGAACGAAAGGAACATTTTTACAAGGATACAAGATAAGTTTTTAAAACTGGAATCTCTTGACGTCAACAATACCTGTTATTCACTTCATCAGAGAGGAAAACGCACTAAAATATTAGATTTGCGTGTGTACATAACGTAATGTTCAATCCGATCATACAATTCAAAGGCAATCTTTACATTTATTTGTTAACGTCAATGTGTCAACATTTAGTCTATATTTTTATCATGTGATGTAATATTCTTCTTGAATTATTTTCAGATATGCATCGATATTATGCAGGCTTATGCGTAGGACAAATGTGCACACTTTATTGCAAGGGACAGTTTTCTCATATGCATTAATTGTATTCTACTTGTTGGATTATTTTTCAGAACTGCATGTATGGTACACTCACTCGTCAGGATGAAATGGAAAATTTCTGCAAGGACACACGCCGAGACTTCCTCCCTTCAACGATGGAAAATGTTGACGTTAAGATTGCCTTTGAATTGTATGCATGCTCTTCAGGATCGGATTGAAAATTACTTTATGTACACATGCACTCATTTTTTCAACAATGTAAATTCTTGACGTATAGATTGCTTCTGCTTTTACCTTCATCGTAGAGGAAGATGCATTAACTTAATGGATTTCTAGGACAAATGTGCACACTTTATTGCAAGGGATCTAGTTTTTGTATATATGTGAATCATAATTCTTTCGTTGGAATATTTTCAAATCTCTTTGGTTGCTTTGCGATATGGATCAGACGGAGCCTTTCGTCTTGATATATACTCTTCTTTCAACAAAGGATGTACTTGATATCAAGATTGCCTGACCGTGGCCTCACATATCATTTGGCTACCTTGTCTTTTATCGTGTTCTTAGTTTGCCTTGCCTCACCGTGTATAGTTCTTGCTTAATGCCTAGCCTTGCTTAGCCTACCCTAGCTCTTGTGTGACACCGAATTGTTATACAAAACTGTCTTGTGTAACCAATACCTAATGCATTTTACCTTGTGTAACCAATACCTAATGCACTGTCTTGTGCTGCATACCATAGCCTTGTGACACAAGAAAAACATTGCTTTTAAAGATGGAATCTCTGGACATCAAGAATGTTATTCCATTCCTCTGAGTGTAGGACACATTAAGGTATTCGATTTCCAGGAAACATATGCACATTTTATTGCAAGGGACATAGTCTCATATGCATTAATCATGTACTTGTTGGAATTTTCAGAACTGCATGTATGGTAGACTCACTCGTCAGGATAAAATGGAACATTTCTTCAAGGACACACTGAGACTTAAATGATGGAAAATGTTGACGTTAAGATTATTGTCTTTCAAGTTATTCCCTTCCTCAGAGAGGAAGACGCATTAAGTTATTGGATTTCTAGGACAAATGTGCGTACTTTGCAAGATTAGTTTTATTTATTCTTTAATGATATATTTTGTCCGATTATTTTCAGAGCTCTTTAAATTGCATGCATACTCTTCAGGATCGGATTGAACATTACTTTATGTACACACGCAAACTAATTTTTTTCAATGAAAATTATTGACGTTAAAATTGTTTTTACGTTTCTCGTAGAGGAAGACGCATTAACTCATCGGATTTCTAGGACAAATGTGCACACTTTATTGCAAGGGATCTAGTTTTACCTGAATCGTAATTCTTTAGTTCGAATATTTTCAGATCTGTTTGGTTGTTTTGCGATCAGGATCAGATAGAGCTTTTCTTCTTGATATAAACTCCATCTTCTTTCAACAATGGAAGTACTTGATATCAAGATTGCCTGACAGTTATTCTCTTCTCAGAGAGGAAGACCCCTATCTTAATGGATTTCTAGGACAATTGAGCACATTGTATTGTCAAAGTCAATATTTTATCATGCGTGTGAATCATATTCTTGTCTCATTATTTTCAGCTTTTTGAACGATGTAATTTTTTTTTTTACAACATGCGCCCTCGTATAGTATTCTCCGTGAACAAAAACACCGTGTCTTTTTATATTTTCATTTTTGCTTTGTGTAGATCTTGGCTAATACGTTACTTTGCGTTGTTTAACCTAGGCATGAGTGGCCTCACATTGCATCGTTTGGCTACCTTGTTTTTTTTATCGTGTTATTAATTTGCCTTGCCTCACAATATAAAGCTCTTGCTTAATGCCTAGCCTTGCTTAGCCTACCCTAGCTTTGTGTGACACCGAATTTTGTTAATACGAAACTCTTGTTTTGTATTTTCATTTTGCCTTGTGTAGCCCATGCCTATTGCCTTGCATACCCTAGCCTTGTGACCTTCCATTGCATCTGTATGACGTCTTGTTTTGTATTTTTATTTTTGTCTTGCGAATCCCTTGCCTAATGCCTTGCCTTGCGAAATTTAGCCTAGACTTAAATAGCCTCACGTTGTCATGAGGCCATCTTGTCTCTAATTATATTTTCGTTTTGCCGTGCATTCCCCTGCATAGTCATTGCCTTTCTTAGCATACCCTATCCATGTGACCTCACATTGTACCTTTATGACACCGTGTCTAGTATTTTTAATTTCCATTGCCTTGCATAGCTTCGCATTTCGTCTTGTATACTTTCGCGTTGCAATGTTTGGTGACCTTTCCTTTTATCATATTCTCGTGTTCTTTTGCCTCATTTGTGTAGCCCTCGCCTAATACCTAGAATTCCTTTCGTCAGCTCACGTTGTGTAGTTTAACCCGTTGAATGTAACGTTTTATCAGATTTCTTTGCCTCACCTTGCATAGCCTTTGTCTAATGCCTTGCCTCTTTTAGTAACTCTTTCCTTGTGAAGCTAAAGATTGCTTCATTTTAGGTCATCTTGTATTGTATCGTGTGATTTTTAATCACCTCAGAATATTTTAAGGACAGAGACGCGCTCTTTTTTGAAGAATTGAAAATGTTCACGTCACGTTATTCCCTTCCTCAAATTGGATGACGCATTAACTCTGGATATCAAGAGTCAGATGTATCAAGAGTCCGATGTTTCTTGCAAGGGGCATTTGTTATCATATGCAGTAATCATTCTTTTTTAATTATTTTCAGAATATCATCAATAGTGTGCAGGCTCATCAGGATTGAATGAAACAA